TCAGAATTCCCCAGCCAGCCATGCTGGCTGGGGAATTCTGAGAGTTGAAATCCACTCATCTTAAAGTGGCCAAGTTTGGACCACACTGCCTTAGTGGTTACGTCTCTGCTGTATAAACTATACAAGAGCATTTACTAAGCAGATTCTGGTGGATGCTCCGTGGACCCTGCAGTTCTCCCCCAGCAAACCCTATTCCCTCAAATTTAAAAAATAAACCAAGCCCACAAACTTTAGTACAGAAGTCTCTATATGGAAAACAAGCCTTCACAGACAACCTGGGGTCAGATCACAGTGCAAAGGAGGTTGGCAGACAAGAAACAGTTAAGCAGCTTGTTCTCCTCCGCAATTAACACATTAATACATGAACAATAACCAGCAAGTGGGTGTATCAAGAACAGTGTCTGTTGGCACAGTATTTAGATTTATGCCTGGGGTTTTGAGAAAAGAGGAAATTACTTTGACTAAACTGACCATTTAAAGGAACCCTCTTGAGAAAGACTTCCTTTCCAGTCCAACCATATTTGCATCTATTTTTTTGGCTGAAGAAATCATAGAGAAGACTTCTATGGCCCAGGAACTAACAGGCTTACACTTATATTCTGAGAGAGACCAGGTGGCCAAACAGTCTTTTCCATTACTTAGAGTCATCCTGGGCTCTTCAAAAAGAAGTATCTTCTGGAATAACGATATGGCCATAAACATTTGGGGGGGCTTTAAAAATGTTTTTTAAAAAGGTAGGAAGGACCTTAGTTATAAAGTAAATGTGGTCCCCAGCTGACAGCATTACAGATTTTTCAGGGGAACAATGACCATTTGTATTCCAGCCAGCATTCATTGCTGCTATGACCAGAGAAATGCCCACCAACCTTTCCCACATCAGAATTTGTGGCAATTTTTTTTTTTTAATCCCTTCTGGCGATCCTTTCCTTGTTTCTCCTCCCAAAGCATAACTTTTTCATCCAAAGCAATAAGGAAATGATAATAATAGCAATGATATCACCATCAATCAATTGCAAAAGGCAGCTTTGCTTGGAACAGCTTACGTCCTGCGACGATCCCTTTAACGCCCTCAAGCAACAACATCTGCCTACCCCAGGTCCTTGGGAAGGACTTGATAGGTGGACAAAAATGCCAAATTCAGTCTAAACATCTGGCTGACTGTGCGACCAACCATAGTAATATTTATATGCTGCCCAACTCCCAACAACTCTAGGCAGTTGCAAATAAAAACGTTAAAAACAAGGGAAAAGAAATCCCGACAATGACAAAAATGAAGAGGCAAGGAATTGTTTTCTGCTTAAAAAAACTAAACTAACAAATGAATAGGCAAATGTAGGAAAATGCTTTGTCCGTTAAGCATTCCTCAGAGTCTTCGCTTAGAGATGTATGTTTTCAAGAGCTGCAATTACCTTCTTTCAGATTTCTTACCCACTGATCCCTGCTATAGGCAGTGGGAGCAAAAATATAAAGTGTGCTATTATCGTACACAACCTGGAAGAAAGAAAAAAAAATCTATTACTATCACACAGGTATTGCCTCTACAGCTATTATAATTCAATTATTATAATGAATTATTCCTCAATAATTGCTAAATTAATACATGAAATAAGCAATGAACTTCAATACAAATGAAATGCCGTCTAGAAAAAAGGGTCTCTCAGTGAGTGGTTTGTCTGCCTGCCAGAGAATTATATTCAGGTTTTCATAATTAATAATGCCCTCTTTCTAAAAATCAGGTCCATGATGAAGAGTGCTCCTAGATGCAACTCTGTCACTGGGTGCCACAGCTTAAAAGGCAGCACAGAGTATACTTCATCAGTTCCTGTATTTCCTCCTCAACAGAAGAGAGCTTGGGGATGGTTTCACATGTTCAGGAAAATCCAAGCTAAGGCTGCCTCTGTCTTCCCAACTTGGTACCACCAGAAATGAGAGGAATGCAACTCCCAGAAGTCCAAGCCCACATGGGAATTGTAGAGCCAGCGCATCTAGGGAAGACCATGGACTCCGGCAAAGGGTTTTAGGGGGAGTTGACTGTGAAAACTGCCCAGGATGATTAGTTAATCTAAAAGGCTCATTGTAGCCTGTTTACCAGAACCAATTGGTGACACATCTCCCCATGGCTTAAGAGTAGTTCATTGGTTCATACACCACTTCAGATCCAAATCCAAAATGTTTACAGTTTCCTTCAAAGAGTACCTGAACTTTCATTTTTACATGAAACTGTCCATTGTTAGGAGAATCTTCAGCTGCCCTATTTTGGATATCTTCTCCATAACTAAGGAGAGATGCATGGTGACTGCATCTTCCCTTGCACCACGCAATCTACGGTTTTCTGGGAAGTGTAACTGGAAGGCGTGGTGGTGCTGAAGCGGCCACAACTTTGCCAAATTTCAATCCCACGGGAGTAAGGGGTCCTGGATTTTGGACACATTCTTTAAGTTAGCCCATTTGAGGTACGTTGATTCAAAAATTGTTGCCCTATGATGCACCATTTCACCCAACTGAAGGTTACAGACAAACACTGAGAGTTTTAGTAGTATATAGGTTTTTTTTTAATGTTGTTAGCTTCCTTGAATTTACAGGTCAGAAAGATGGGTTTTACAAGTGTACAAATTTTTACTGTCTGTGTATACCTTTTTTTGTAGCTTTTTGAGAGCTACTTTGTGAATATATGTTGAAGGATAAAGAATGGAAAGCTAAGAAATACATAAACTTTTAAATAAAACCAACATCTACCTTCAAAGTTTAGAATGTAAGAAAAATCACAAATCACGGGCACCAAACCAGCTAGGTGACTTTGGGCTTTGTGCCAATCCTTCTCTCTCAGCCCTAGGAAAATGGCCATGACTTGTCCAGGCGCTCACAAGGGTCTGCTTCTTGTCTTACTAAGTTTATCAAATTTGTATACTCTCACTTGTATATATACACCTTGCCTCAGCAAATCACAACACCTGGCTCACTTAGTCTGCGTTTGGAAGCAATGCAAGATTCAGTCTGGTTAGGAATTGGATGCAAGACTATATGGGGCTACCAAGGCTGTAGGCTAGACTGAGAAGTGGAAAAACGTCTCTAAAGAAGACAATGAAAAACATGTTATCAATGAAAAACACGTTATGAAAATTGCATGATTGAACTCAACTCAAAGTAGACTTTACTTTAATCTAAATATACACTACTTCTTAGAGACCTCAACTGACAGTCAAAGCAAGAGAGTATTATCAACAGCTGTAACTGGAA